AAGTGCCATAGAGAAGTGAAACAACCGAAACTAGCGAGATGAAGTCCCAAGCAAGACGTTGGAGACAACCAAGATTGTTCATTATGTTACAAACTGATGCATAATCTTAACAAATGCTAACATTTTTCTGCTTGTGTGTTAAAAAGTTGATTTTTATTGCCTTTCTCTTAAACTAAGAGTGAATCCGTTTGATACACAGCTCTCAAATCACTTTGATTTCATACCTTAGCACGGATGACATCGGTATACCGCATAACCCGAACAATCAAAAGCACAAAAGGGACAATAAGAACAGCATGTTCGATGCGAAAACGACTCGAAACATGCTGTATTATCTCGAGAAAGCAGGAAGAGGAGTATCTGCAGGTGGTGCAGAGGCGGTAAGAAGGTTGTTTTCTGGCAGAGGAGTTGGTTGGTGAAGATGGGTGACATCAGTCTGCAGTGGAGGCTCGACGATGGTGGCAGGATCGGGATTCCGGTCATGGCGTGGACGACAACGACGACAACAGGATTGTTTAAAGAAGCGAGGAAGGAGGTAGCAGAGGAGACGGAGAAAGGAAAGAATGGCAATGAGGAATAAAGCTGAGAGAAGATGGTCTGTGGGGGAGCGAGACCTTTTGCACCCAAATAATATTCCAAGGCAAACCATGGAAAAGAAAGAATGGGAGGTCCTATGGGGGCTCTCTAATGGCTGCCAATTAAATTAGAGAGAGCATTTTTAAGGCACCTCCGGATATCGAGAACATCGTTGATCTGGACAGACTCCCGTGCCATTGCAATTTCAGATTTATTAGAATGGATGCTTTTCGAGTTGTTGATGGTTCGTACTGAATACAACAGGTGCGTGCATAAAGCCAAGCCAAGAGGTTATTACCCCTAAATGGACTATGTTTGACCTTGTTTGAACCTCAAAAGTTGCTAATGAATTATCAGCAAAAAGATATTTCATGCTCGTTAGTAGACAATCACTTATTTACAACAAACCTTTTATATGACTAATCGTAACTATAGAGATTAATTACGGGTATAAAAAAAAGTACAACCTTATTTTTTGAAAATATAAAATTAAATATAAAATTAAATATAAATTTATAATTTAATTAAAAAAATATAAAGTAGGAAAATGGTGGTATTTGAGGGAGGGGCTAGGCTTCCTCTATGGCCCACAAGAACTTGATGGGGAAACGAATAATATTATAAATTTAAGCATAAAATTTACGTATATATTCTTATTCCTCCACCGCAATTATTTATAATGTAATTAATTAATCGTTTATATTTCCATATTTCATCCTTCGCACGTGGAGAAGGTACGTGCGAATTCCTTTCTCGTCCATTATGCTGAATGATCTGTGCAGGTCCGGTCGACCAGGCAGGGGTTGCGAATGGTAGTTTGCAGGTCTCTTTTCAGGTATGATTCATAAAAATAAAAACTCTGTTTGGATTCCGAGAAAATCTCCTTAAGCAATGCTCTACAAATCTTGTAATTCTACAAATTTCTGAGCTTATCGCTTTCCTAACAATGCTCGATATTTGGCTCCATCTTCATCTTTTGAAACGGGATATAACCTAACATTAGTGGATGTTTTGATCAATCAAATTGTTCTAATTCAATCGATTGAGATCGAGAGGAAGTTTTGATCGACATTACTTGAAAAATTATCAGTTAATCAGAGATATCCAAGCTCAATCCATGGATTGAAAGTTTCGCTCTCTTTATAAGATTTTCTGTTTGGCTGTATTTAATCTGCTGTGCTGCTTTTGTAGAGTCGACCGTCTCTTGAAATGTACGTCCGTATATGTCATATAGCAGCTCGTAATCTAGCTCTGGAGCTCATTATATTAACTATTAATTTGAAGTTGGAATGATTTTCTATTAAAAATATGAACGAATGATTGAATATACCATAACTTATCTACTTTGAGTTCAGTTGTTTAGTCGTGATTTAACAATAGGATGATTATGTTCAAGTGAGAGGAAGGGTAGATTAAGGATATGATTAGATATGCCTTATTTATCAGCTTAAGCTTTAGAGTTGAATAGTAATTTAACACGATCTGAGCCTGAATTTGGATGTTGAAATGATGTTCTTAGTAATAAACTGGTGGTGGACTAGCTTCTAATCCTTATAAAACTGACTTCTATTCCAATGCGTCAGGGACTCTATGCTGATAATGGTTGGAGCCTGAATGCGAATATGACTGGTAAAAAGGAATTCTGGAGTGCTGCTGACCAGAAGAAGAAGCCCAAAACAGTCACCCAAACATGGAGACCTGTGTACATGCACGCCAGCCCTTCTGAGGGTATGTGGAATTTATATTACAAAAGCATATAACTGTAGCCGTGCAGTTTGGGAATTGTACAAATCAATATTTATAACCTAAACATTTCATCTAATGGTACTTATGTTTAAGTTGTGGAACAAGGAGTCAGTTGAGGCTGCTTCTGAAATTCTGAGAGTGATTATACTTACTAACTGGACATTTGTTGTGAGATTCCACCTCAATTGGAGAGGGAAACGAGTGCCAGCGAGGACACTGGGCCTCAAGTGTCAGGGGTTGGATTGTGAGATCCTATATCGGTTGAGGAAGAGAACGAATCATTCTTTATAAGGGTGTGGAAACCTCTCCCTAGAAAACGCGTTTTAAAAACCTTGAGGCCCTAATCATGAGTTGCATGTGTTTTATTTGTAGGATATTTGTATTAAAAGTAGAAAGAAAACTGTAACAGCCCAAGCCTACCGCTAGCAGACATTGTCCTCTTTGAGTTTTCCCTTTCATACTTCCCTTCAAGGTTTTTAAAACCTCTCTGTTAGGGAGAGGTTTCCACATCCTTATAAAAAATGTTTCATTCCTTCTCCAAACGAAGTGAGATCTCACATTTGTAGAGCTTGTATGTGATGACACATCTTCTTTATGAGGTATCTCCTGGATGCATTGGATAATAGGCCAATACTAATTAAGCTCAAGTGGTTGGTGAGTTCTGTTATGTTCAATCATCAAATTTTCTACATAGATACCATTTCAATCATAACTGCAGCCCACCAAGGATTAATACAGTCGCATTTGATTAGAAGTATCTATATTTTGGTTTGAATCTTCACTTTCAACAACTTACCAAATATACAGAAAGTGGTGTTTTAGTGATGAGATTGAATAATTTATTTCCAAACATTGTTTGCAAGCATTATTTTGGGAAAGTAATTTGAAAAACACTCATCTACGTAGTTTGGAAGTTCATTTTTGTTTATTCCCAATAATGTCTGTGTGATACGAGGATTGTATGAGAGGTTCTTTTGCCAAAGCCCGTGTTCTCTATGCTCCTGTGGAAGAAATTGGCGATGTCAGAATACTGTTACGAGCTTGTAATATTCATTTTATAGTTTCATCTCAAACATATCCTGCAGAAAAAAATTATTCCATCTGTTTCTTTTTTGTTCAAGTTCTTAAGAGAACCAAAAAAATTTCACTTTTAAATTTCCTGAGCTTTTTCAGAAGTCATCATTGATGCATTTACAGAAGCTGGACTTGTTCTGGAGAAAGATGCAAAACAGAAGTTAAAGGTATGTTAACAACTTCTAATACATTTCATTCCGAACTCAACCATCAACGATCAAATATCAGAATGTTTTGTCTATTACTTTGCGATTTGATTCGATAAATATCTTCTGAATAATTTTCTCATTATCAATATTTAGTTGCCCTCGATAAATATCTTCTGAATAATTTTCTCATTATCAATATTTAGTTGCCCGCTGGTACGAACAACGAACGTCCACATTGGTATAATATTGTCCACTTTAAGTATAAGTTCTTGTGGCTTTACTTTTGATCTTTTCAAAAGGTCTTGTATCAATACAAATAATGTCTCTTACTTATATACTCATGATCTTCGGTTCGTTTTTTCTTCAATATGTTCATCTTTTCATGTACTTTCTAGTTCCTTCCATGTGTGAATCTCTGTTTACAATCCTGAATTGTTTGATTTCACTGTCAGGGCTGATTTCATGTCACCGCAATGCTTCAGGAATAAAAGGAAAAAGAAGAAATTCATTTGCTGCTCGTGAAATTTTCAAGCAGTATGGGTCGAAGGAGTGGAACGAGTATCATATCCGTGAAGCTCATCTCTCACAAAGATCTGCATTTGATGAAAATGGATACTGCCATTGCTGTGCTACCGAACATATGCAATTCGACTGATCATTGCTTTACTAAGGTTCGAGCTGAATGCTTCAAGTTATTTTTTATTTATTCTGTTTGTAGAATTTAGCTTGTTGTTAACTCTCTATTTTTGGGTTGTTTTTTTAAGTATTTTAAAAAAATCATACTTATTCGATCCAATTAAAACAAATAAAAATATATAAACCAATAATGTTTTAAAATGAGATCCTAATAAACCTACTTGGCATCTATAGAATCCATCAGATGATCAGATATTATTATCTAAACCTTATCCATATATTTCAAAAGAAAAAGACCCTTATCCACTCATATTTGAAAACATTATTGATGATCAGATATCATTCTCATCTCCTTTTGTTTGGCTCCATTCTACATTCTTCCCTCTCTCACCTCTATGATTATGAGAAACACTATTATTGATCACTCTCTGTACATTTCCCTTTAAATCCATTCAAATCCAGCTAAGATCCTAGCAAAAACATTGTATTCTATTTCCGATTTTGAAAACAGATAGGTCGCTCGGCTGGTAATAAGACACACCGTCTTTGAATCATACTCAATCCGATATTGTCCTCTTTGAGTTTTCACACCCTCACCAACCCTCTCCGACCAACATGAAATCTCACCCGTACCTATCCAAAAACTTATTACCTAAATCTTCACCCAAATATTATATTCAATGAATTTTTTTTCTACGTATATATCTAATATTACAAAATTGTTAGCCATGTTTTGATTGTTTCCTCAATAATTTAAGGGTTTTTTTAATAATTATTTTGTTGAAAATTTGGGATTTGAAAATATTGATGACATAGGGGACATTTTAAAAAGAAAGTTGGTGAGTTCTTCACATGGGTAAATCTCAGAAGTTACATGAAAGACGAACAGTGACTGATCATTTTGTCGCAATGGAATTGTGTGGAATGTCTATATAAGAAGAAGATTAATATGAGAAGCTCAACAATAATTCATAAGGTATAGGCTGTAAGTTTGTTTGAAAATGGCTTGGTTCACCATTGGAAGCTTCCAAGATTCCTTCAGCTTGCGCTCTTGCAAGGCGTATCTTGCTGAGTTCATCTCCACCTTGCTCTTCGTTTTCGCCGGCGTCGGTTCCGCCATTGCCTACGGTCAGTTTCCCCCACACTCTTATCTATCTTGCTCAACTATGTTTGGATTAACTCAACAACTTTGGTGTCATTTTCTGCAGATAAAATAACATCCTCTGCAGCTTTAGACCCAGCGGGGCTGGTGGCGGTGGCGGTTTGCCATGGATTTGCTCTGTTTGTTGCAGTCTCTGTCGGAGCCAACATCTCCGGTGGCCATGTCAACCCAGCGGTGACATTCGGCCTTCTTCTTGGTGACCAAATCAGCCTAATTACGACCATATTTTACTGGATTGCTCAGCTTCTTGGCTCCATTGTCGCCTGCTACCTTCTCAAATATGTCACTGGCGGCCTGGTCATTTCTCTGTTTTAGTCCTAAATTCTTCGCATTCTCATACCCATTTTTAACATATAATGTGGTTATAAATATGAAAAAGGCTTGAAAGTTCAATACCCATGTTGAAAAGTTTGGTCATTTTTTCCCCTGCAGGCAGTTCCGGTCCACAGCGTGGCGACCGGCATCGGAGCAGCGGAAGGAGTTGTGATGGAAATTGTCATCACATTCGGTCTGGTTTACACGGTCTATGCGACGGCAGCCGACCCAAAGAAGGGATCTTTGGGCACAATTGCGCCAATTGCCATCGGATTCATCGTCGGAGCAAACATTTTGGCAGCCGGACCGTTTTCCGGCGGATCGATGAACCCGGCCCGGTCATTTGGACCGGCGGTGGTCAGTGGGGACTTTCACGACAACTGGATTTACTGGGTTGGGCCACTCGTTGGCGGTGGCTTGGCTGGGCTTATCTACTTTTACGCCTTTATGGCCTATGGGCCCAGCCCAATTCCAAGCGATTACTAAGGCCCAAATAAATTAAACGATTTTTTTTTTCTTCCTTTTGCTCTGTTCCCTCTGCAATAAGAGGAGGAAAAGCAAGGTTTTCTGCTGTTCTTCCTTTGTTCTATCTTCTTCTCCTTTGATTTGTTTTGGGCCCTTGGTTTTCTGGGAAAAGATCTGTAGTTTGATGCCTTTAATTTATTTGCATGTATGTCTTGCTTTTGTTGGATTCTCTTCTTCTTCTTCTTCTTCTTCTTCACCTGTTGTTTATAAGTAGATCAATCGCTTGTATTTGCGAAAGTCGGAAATAATTTCATCGGTTAAAATTGTGCATATTCTTAGTTTTAAACTTATTTTGCTCTTTAACGTGTATTACTTAATTCTCTAACTTGTTATAAAGTTCAACAAGACGAGGGATGAGGATTTAAACTTTTACTTGTTTGTGATCAAGTTAAGCTATTTGTTTAACTGTTCAAGCTCACAGCTAGCATGTACCATTCTAATTGGGCTTTCCATTATCGGCTTCCTCTAAACAATTTTAAAACACATTGACCGAGAAAAGCCATAAAAGTAAGGACAATTTTAAATCACATCGACTAAAGAAAAGCCATAAAAGTAAGGATAGATCACAATAGGACATTAGCATTGAATTTAATCCGTAGTTGATAGGTGTTTTATGTCGATTGGTTTTGAAAGGTAAGTTTACGACGTATTTTATTTCGCATACGCGATTAAAGCATGACGTCACTAATTGGACAAACTGAATTAACGAGGAATAATTACATTGTTGATACAGCGGCGGCAAGGAGCTTAGATTTAATGTCCATTGCTCAATCATCTCAGCTGACTCTGATGGGTAAAACAAAAGGTTGTTACTAAATTATGCAGATTCTGAAGACTCTGATGATTCTGAAAGCTCTACTTTTTCATAACCCCATTCATGAGCTTTCCACTCAGGCAACTGTTGAACAGCAACCTTCATCCAAAGAAAACAAACAATAAACTCAGGACACTGTTCTATCAATCAATCAATCAATCAAATTTCTACTCATTACCATCCCTCTGGAATCTGGTTTCCCAACAATGGTTTGGCAAGCTAGTCTCCAGTTCTTGGGTTTCTGTGTATGAAAAACAAGACCATTATATGTCTTTGATTCGGAGGAATTGAAACCAAACCAAAAGCCAGAGATTCTAAGCTTAATGGCAATGGAATCTGTATACAAACCTTTTTAAGTTTGTCTTTCTCTATGTCTGTGCGAGGGTTTAAAAGCTCTTTCCCTTCAACGATCTGAAATGATAATAAGAATTGCAGTCAGAAGATTAACATTGAATTTCTTCTTCACCTTGTTCAATGACCAACGCATCAGATTTTGATGAACTTTTTTACCATAATGATCAAACAAACAGAGATTCAGAACCGAGATATGAAAAGGGTATTGATTAAATCCTCATTAAGAACATGATCTAATGCAGTAAAATCACCTCCACCATACAAGTCCCACAGGTCCCTCCACCCGCACAGTTCAACAGAAATCTCGACTGTAGAACAACATCAAAGCCCTATTATAATCAAAACTAAGAAAACCCCAATTCATTAAGTTAAGGAAGTGGGAAACTCACATAAGGCCCATACAATTCAACATTGGAATCAAGCATTATGTTTCTGAGTTTTTGCCCACCACATGCTCGACGAAAGTGCACATCAGGAGTTCCATCAGGAAGCAATACAGACTTCAATAAACACATAAATTAGCCTCGATAATCTAAGTATAAACCCTAAAAATTGAACATTACAGCTTACATTAACGAAAGCGAAATCAACCATGGGAGGCTCCTGAGGCTCACTGGTGTCGGATTGGCTCTGTGGAACAGTACCGACGGCTCTGATTTTGGATCTGCGAAAGGTTAGTGGGCGGAAGCGATTAAGGGTGTGAGTGGAATTTGTAATGTAGTTGAAGGAACGGAAGGAGGAAGAACCCAGATGGAGAGCCTCCATTTTGGGAAATTGGGGGTTGAGGAAGTGAAGTCTGGAGTGAAAAAAGGATCATGATTGTGTGTTGTGTGGCTCTTCATGGCCTTATCTGGTGTCGCCGTCTGTCCTTATGGGTAAGGTTTTACAGGGCTGAAGGCCAACGGGAAAAGTGTTCGAAGCTGATTTTTGAACTATGAAGAATGGAAATTATTTAAGAGAAAAAAAAAAAAAAAAAAAAAAAAAAAAAAAAGAATGAGATCAAATTACAACATGGAAACAATCTTAATAAAATGATTTAGAAAAATGTAAAAACTACAATTAAATGTCAAGAGTAGTAATGAAATTTTAATCGCTCTGCCACTAACTCTGAGCTAACGAGGAACAAAAAACTCTGAGCTACTGAATAACAACAAACTCTGAGCNCTCTAACCAACTGAGCTATTCCAGCTACCTTGACATTATATACTAAGAATAATATATAATTGTTTTTATTTGATTTTTGAGGCCTCTTAGTTTTCATTCTCACAAGCAAAAATTAGATAACAAATAAAAAAATTTCTTCAGAAGAATTAGTGTTTAGCTTAATTTTTAAGAAATAATCTAAAATTAAGGTCACGTCTGGTAGTCATTCTATTTTTTAAAAAAATTATGCTTATAAATTGTATTTCTCTCCACCATGGGTTATCTTGTTTTGATACATATGTTTTGAAAACTAAGGAAAAGTAAAGTATTCCAACTACTTTTAAGATATGACTAAGAATTCAAATTTTAAGAAAGATTGAAAGTGATTTTTAAATAGGGAACTCGGCCCGACCGTGGTCGAGGAGGGATGTAAGAACAAGACTTGCATTGCATTTGACTTGAAACTAGCGTAAAGGCTTATTGAATTAGTCCTTTGATTTAAGTTGAATAATGCATTAAGGAAAATCAATTTCGCTTCCTTCAACTAAGATCTTCGACTAGGTTTATCTATGGATGAACTCTTAAACTTGTTCCAATTTATCGCCAGGCAAACTGGGCTGACTCAAATTCCCGAATCCTAGTTCTGCCATGTCTTGCTTTGCCATTAAATTCCTGCAAGTTCCCAATGAAATCTCATGAATAACCATACTCATACAGCCGAGCTGTGTTAGAGAAGAAATAACAAAGTTCAAACCAATGAGAAAAGAAACTGAATAGGTAGCACACACAAACTTCCACCAATAATTTTGGTAGCAGTATTCATAACAATATCACACGAGTGCGTTCCCCTTATTTGCCGTAATGTAAGTGGAAAAGAAATGAATCATGCACTCTGTTACTAGTCACTCTCCAGTTTGTGCTAGACCAATGTAACCAATGTTGAACCAAAACCACTCAAAAGAACAAATTGCATCTCCAAAGGAATAGAATCACTGGAAGAGTAAATGTTAGATCCCACATCAGTTTGAGAGAGGAATGAAATATTCTTTACAAGGGTGTGGAAACCTCTCCCTAGTATACACATGAGACTGACGGCGATACGTAACGGGCCAAAGCAGACAATATCTACTAGTGGTAGGCTTGGACTGTAGGGGTAGAATGATAGATTGATGAAGGATATAGAAGTTGTTAGAAAACGAGGGAAAGATTCATTCCTAGTTTTCAGGGCATATGAGTTAGTTGACTTGTAGCTAAGCTAGACAAGGAAGGGAAAGTTGGCAGAGCCTCAGAAAGGCGGAACTTATAGCTACTTGCACCATGCACCTCTTTTTTTCCTTTTTTGTTAGATCACAATGATAGCACTTGCTGTTCTACTGGAACTGGTATATGGATGTAGGGTTTGTTCCTATACATTCATTAATGCCACCATTTCAGCTAATAGTGATGTATTGGTGTGTAAAACATCAGGATTGAAAGATAACAATAACCCAGGTTCCCACAAACAAAAGTTTATGAATCTAAAATACAGAGAGCAAATCAACACTTATTAATACAAAAACATAATATAGAAATTTCAACAGTCTTACTTTTCCATACGACATTGAAGGTATTTTTTTGATAAGTGCCTGCATTTTTCAGATTGGTGACCAGAAGTTTTAAGACAATTGAGGTATTCTTTCTTCTCCTGCAATGAAGCCCATGCATCACAAAACAAGCAATGAACACAAAGAAACCTTCAAAAGAATTCCAAAAACCACATATCCTAGGTGAAAACAATGGTGCTCTAAAAAGAAATACCAGGTCGCAAAGGTGCATATGATCCAAAGGGAAGACTCCTTTTTCTGGGGGTACCGGTCTCAATCCTCTATTCCCCCCAAATGAACCACCTGCAAAGATCACAATAGCTCTCACCAAATCAATTTAGCAAAAACAGAAAATATATCCATTCTATCGAAGTTCGTTGTAATGATTATCTTCTTTTTCATCACCAAAGCATTTGAAGCTTTTCATTAATTCCTCTTAGCAAATTATCCCTTCATTATATATCCACTAAAACTCAAAGAAGAAACAATATTAATTCCAGGTAATATCAATATTGCTCACAAAGCTAAACACCGCTAAATAGTTCTTTCACAGACCACAAACCTTGCAATGAGACGTTAACGCAAACGATGGCCATCATTGCCTGATATACAAAGCTATAGTAAAACAAAACAACTAAATCACAATTAGTCTGAACCCCAATAAGATTGAAAAGAATGAAAACTACGAGTCATTTATGTAAATTTTAAAAATCCGATGATCATGTTTAAGCAACTGATAAGCAAATGGAATAAAAACATGAATTTTCCCTTTCAAATCATTTTCTATAGTCATCAAGTAATTCAACTCTTTCTACATTGAAGACTAAGCTCAACTAAGAGACATGTAAAGCAAATGGAATAAAAACATCACAATCAACCCACAAATTGCTCAAACCCAATCCATTCACTGGTTTCAATCAATTGATAGAAACTCCTAATTAGAGTTGAGATTCTGCAAGCATATCCAACTATTTTCAAATCTTTTCATTTTTCCAATAAGCTAGATGTCTGAAAAAGGCTAAAAATGCAGCTCCTTAAAGAACCGATCCCCGATCAGAAGCGTATATAATTTTACCAGCAAAAATCAAGAATCTTAACTCAGTAAACCATTTGACATGATACAAATTCTCTAATCCCTCGCCTCTTCGAAACTAACATAAATTCACCCCAAAAAAAGAGAAAAATCATGCTCTCTCTCTCGCCCTCAGTATTGACAACGCATATGCTAGAGTACCTGCACTCATTGTGGAAACTCCTGATAGCTTGAAATAGAAAA